AGGCCATTTACTGAAACCTGAAAAATGTTTTAAAAAAAAAAAAAAAAAAAGTGATTATTTTAAATTATTAAATTGTATAACGTGCCATCTCTAAAACATGTATATAATTGCACAACAGTATATATTGTTTTGTTGTTTGCTGTTGTAAATTATTTGTTTATATAGCACTTGACAACACCGAAGGGAGCTCAAAGTGCTTCACAACAGAACACGTAGAAGTAAAAGCAGAGCATGTTAAGACACAAACAAAAAAAGAAAAGTTAATTACCCAAATTTAAAACAATGGTCTGTGAGGAACTATAACACTCCTGCACAATAAAAGTGAGTCAAAGTGCAAAGAATAAGATTACAGACTATAAAATGCGAAAGCTTGTAGGCACCATTATAGCGCCACTGCTAAATATTAAATGCCGAAAGCCAGTCTGAATAGGTGTGCCTTTAATTTAGACTTAAAAACCACCAACTCCGTTATAGACTGAAGCTCAGGGGGCAAGGTATTCCATAACTTGGGGGCATATACAGCAAAAGAATGATCACCCCACTTTTTGTACCTTGTCTGCGGGACAACCAGAGACAAATGCTCAGAGGAACGCAACGCTCTGACCAGGGTGTGAATAATTAAAAGATCAGACAAATAGACTGGAGCAAGGCCATTAATGGCCTTGAACACAAAAAGCAAAATTTTAAAATCAATTCTCAATTGTACCGGAAGCCAGTGAAGAGACTGGAGGACAGGGGTGATGTGAGCATACTTTGGGGTATTTTACAGTAGGCAAGCAGCTGCATTCTGTACTAGCTGGAGCCTACGGAAGAGAGACTGACTAATTCCAGTGTAGAGGGCATTGCAGTAATCAAATTAAATAATGTCTTAACCCCCTATATTTCGTGTTGCCTATGTTGTCCATTATCCAAATGCTCTATCCTAAAACAATATTAAAGGTCCATAGATGTTGAGAGCATCACAGAACTAGTCATTTTAAGACAAAAAAAGACTCCTCTTTGGTAGAGGGTATGGAACTTTCATTCATTCATCTTCTATGCCGCTCAGTCCCAAACGGGGTCGCGGGGGGCTATGGAACTTTCTTAACTGAAAAAGCATCCAAGGCACTAAAGAAATTTAAAATGCATTTCTATAATAGCAAGTTCTATAAACAGAACATGGTTATAAAGTAACTTCGATGTGTCTCTGAGTCTAGAAAAAAAGCATGTTAAGGCAAACTTAGGTAGACAAAGGAAGAAACTAACAGCTGAAATCATTTAGTAAGCACAACAACCAGTCCAGCTAGTTCACCACTCATACCCTCGCATTTAGAAAACCTAATGAAGACACTAGAGGGCAGCATCTATCTGAAGCTAAAGATAGCTGGATTTCAGATCATGAGTTCAAGTTCTTGTATAATGAAAACCCCAGAATCATCCTTTTATCTGCTCCCTAAAATCCATAAAAGTATTAGAAAGCCCTCCAGGAAGACCAGTTATCTTGGGTAACAGCCTTACAGAACCAGTTTCTAAATACAGTACATGGACTATTTTTCCAAACTGGTGCTGCCTTCCTTTCCAGCTTAAATTAAAGATATTACAGCTGTCCTAAAAAGATTGAACTATTCAATATACTGTACTGGCTACTGTGGATGTTGAGCCATGATGCATCACACAACAATGGAACATAAACTGGGCCTGGCAGTGTCAAAATACCCTTTGAGTGAAACTATCCTTTACAATTCATATTATATTTGACAGAATGAACTTTGAATAAGGATAATCACCTTTATTGGCCAAGTATGTTACACATAAGGAAGTTGTTTAAGGTACAGAACCGATGGCAGCCATCTGCAGCACCACCTCAACCGATGGCTCTAACCATCGGGGGCAACTTGGGGGGTTCAGTGTCTTGCCCAAGGACACTTTGACTGGAGGCACCAAGATTCGAACCTTTAACTTTCTGGTTGGGAGACTGCCCTGCTCTACCCACCGCACCGTTGTCGCCTCCCCAACAACAAGACAAGATAACAACAGACAAGTTATCTTGTTTAGACAAGCCAAAGGCTTTGGGAGCACACTATACTCCCTCTTATGCAGGTTTATATATTGGACAAGTGTTGGACTTTTTTTAAAAACATACATTTTTAGATGAGATAGTATTCTAGGGAAGATATATTGATGATGTGATGGACAAGGTCAAAAAAGGATTTGTTGTCTTTTCATCAAATAAGACAAACAAAACAAACTCCCTTTTGAGTACAGAAAAGATCTCATTCACTTTCTGGATGTGGAAATATCTAAAGACAAATATACATTCTATCGTTCATAGGAAATCTACTGTTTGTAGTCATCTTGAACACCTCAAAGAAAACATGGTCAGTTTCAAAGATTACAAAGAAGTTGTGATAAAGTGATTTTGTTACACACACACGTGTGTGTGACATACTTGGGCAAATAAAGGTGATTATGTGATTTTTTTGATCAGAAAGCTGCAGAAATGGAGAATAATTTTATTCAAAGTAGATATGAAGTGCCAGTCTTAGTCTTAGAGAGCCAGGACCTTCTGTAGGAAGGGAGATGTAGACAGGTAAACAAGAGTAGTTTTCCTTACAAAATTCAGTACTACTCAAATTAAAAATACCATTGAAAAGAATTGGAATACACTTCAATGTGATACCACAGTAGTACATTTTCCTGAACCTACTGTTTTTAGTTTCAAATGCTCACCTACTTTGAGTTATCGATAAGCTTGTTCATACCTGCTAATCCCAAAACTACCAGGCTTCCTCGTAAACCTTTAGGTTCATTGTGGTCATTGTCCTAATATACCAAACTGTGAGTTTTCCAGGAACCATGGGGCTAACACTTGAAATAAGGCACTTTATCAATTGTAAGGTTAGATTAGTCATTTACAGATTAGAACACCCTGCCTGTAATGTAAGACAGGCCTCCAGAGCATAAATATGCTGGGGCCACCCAATATCTCGGCCTTAGTGAAGATCTAGATTTGACTCATTTCTTGTAAAATGGTTCTCCTTTAAAAGTTATATATATGTGTGCATACATTTGTATAGGCCTTTATTTGTACAGCTCATGTCTGTCTGCCTTTGATATAGACGTACACATTTACACATTTCCCTGTTTGATATTTTTATGCATGTTCTCTATCTAGGGATGCTGCCCTCTGGTGTCTTCATTAGGTTTTCTAAATGCAAGGGTATGAGTGGCGAACTAGCTAGACTGGTTGTTGTGCTTATTAAATGATTTCACCTGTTAGTTACTTCCTCTGTCTACCTACGTTTGCCTTAACATGCATTTTTCTGTAACTTCCTGAAGAAGTCCAGATGCCAAAGTGCATCAAATTGACTTTTTAATCATGTGCTGTTTATAGAACTTTTGTAGAGATGAGTGCCTTGGTTGCTTTTTCAATTTATTACTAAAACTGAATTAACTGATGAAAAAGAAACGCACGGTGTATAAATACTGAGTAGGAACAGCATTATTTGTGTGCCTCTGTATTACTAACAAGGGATCTTGGAGCGACATAATATGATGTGACAGAGCCATGTTCATTTTTTCTCAATATGCTCATGCATGGTTTAATGAATTGTACATTTTTGCACTAATCAAGCTTGTATTGCACTGGTTTCCACCTGTGAGCTGGACACAGACCATCATTGCTGATGGGCTGGTTGCACACATCAGGCCTGTTTCGCAAGGCATTTACACAGAATGGGTCTGTGACTCACAGGAGACACACAGTGAAGCTTCTTACCTTCCATGCTTCTTCTAGCTCCGCTGTCCACCTCTCCTTCAGGATGGGCTGCACAGAAATGATGAATTCAGCTCCAACATACTGGAAAATAATAATGGGAGATGCTTACTGACATGTTTATGCCTTGGTAAACAGGCTAGTATCCAGTTGGTTGCTTTTGTTATTTGCAAGAACAGGTGTGATTGCAGTTTGCAGTATATCGGTGTCATTCAACGGCTGTGATTTTAGGGCTCTCAGTATAATGGTGAGTCTAATAAAGAGCTACTGCATCAGTTGAAATTAGAATATGTGTACTACTTTTTAAACAAGCACTGTCACAAACAACAGACTGCAGCTCAGTGCTGCTGGGTTCACTGGGGTCTTACACTGTAGTATTTAGGTGGAGCGTTGTAATTATAATGGCTTTTTCCCAGCTCCAGAGCCAGAGCCTCCAGTCTCTCCAGCTGGTTCAGTCTAGCCACGCTTTTCTCAATGAAAGACATCACCCTGAAAGAGAGAGAGGGAAAAGGCTCAGGCTGAGCTCCCCAGCCTGACTGATCCTTGACTCATCAGCAGACAGCTGTAAACTGATCTAGCTCCGTTGTAGGTGAGTGTGATGCTCCTTGGTTGAAAGGCTGCACTGTAACATTTGCAGTTTTACAAACTCAAATACCAAGAAAAATAAGTGAAGGAAAACATTTTTCCCTGCACAAAATGCAGCAGTATCACTTTCCCTTGTTGCTTTGCAGGGTGACTCTCATCACTGCAGAGTATGTGCATGAAAATTTTGAAGATGAATATGGAACAAAGGGTTTGTTTAGCTCTCTCTTTTCTCTGTCTCGCTACCATTGTGGACGTGTACCAATGTCCCTGTGCACGACTGAAGAATCATTTGACCTTATCAGTGAATTTGAGAGCAGCCGGTTCACGCTGTGACATGTCCAGATGCTGCAATGCTACACTAGCCTCTGTACCTTTCAAGTCCTCAGGCAGTAACTGGCTGCTTTTAGCCTTGTGTGTAGAGGAACACAGAGAGGCTTGGTGCACCCTGGGAAACAGCAGACAAGTGCCTGTGATTGATACTACAAGCTTGTTCTGCAGCAGAGTGATAAGTGATACTCTAATCCTGTGACTACCTCAGGTGTTTGTCCTGCCACTTATCTCATAATTAATTTGTGTGCACAACATGGGTTTTATCATATATTATTGTTCCACTGAAATGGAAGGGGGTGCCTGAAGGAATATAAAATTGCCTGATTTTTGTTTTAAACAAATCCCCTGAAACGACAAAAACCAAAAATAAATTGATCCTAATAAGTACTGCCCGTAGCCAAAGCCTGTTCATTCCTGTGTGCCACAAACCTCCAGTGTTGTCCATGTGCACTTGCTCACTTTATCATGAGTCAATTCCATGTAGAGTCTTCAACAACTATAAAGAGCAGTGATTCTCCCCAGGTGTACCTAGAATGTTTATGGAGTGTCTCCAACTGGATTAAGGAGAGGGATGACATCTCCAATGAGTCTGTAAGGACCTTTGTTTTTTTTTTTACAGTAATTGCTCTGCTAATTTAAAAAGAAAATGAAAAATCCACATACTTGTATTTAGGAGGAAAATACAATTAGGTTAATAAATGTATCTTTAGTATACAGTATTTACTGTCGCAATAACCAGTAAGCTACCAGCTAAAAGTTTAAAAGTAAGATCAATGGTTAACATGCCCATCTTCAACCACTTCAAGTGGTAGAAAGTCAAGAATCTACATTCCAGGATCACTTCCTTGTATTATAACAAGACCCATTTTTATGTAGTTAACAGTGATGGCTAACGCCCAAATGCTCACATTTGGAATATGACAGGTGCTGCTGATGAAGCTATTTTCAGCCTCACCTAACAGGGCTGAGGGGGTACATCATAAAAGCTAAATCCACTGCAGAAAATAGTCCCCAACAAATACACAGTTTACATGTATGAGTTGTGTTGGCTCAAAAACGAGTCCAGTAGTTCCAGGAAATTATAAACATGTGACTGAGAGTCTTAGACAGGTGAAGTCACGTGTCCTCTGTCAGATGAATTTGCATATTGTTGGTTTTGGTGAATTACATGCAATTTGTTGACAATATGTATGTACTGATTAATGCCAGACATCTCCTTTAAATAATGTTTTGCATAGAACGTCACTGTGACAGAAGACAAATGATTACTGTAGGCTGGCTGTATCTGAACATGCTCTCCTGCTTTACCATGCATACTTTATGCTTTCACTGACTGAGTTGTGATGATACTGAAGTGTTTTGTGTTGTGCTGTGCAGAGCTGGTGACAGACCGTAAGCCATGTGCTCTGAGTTCCCTGTTGGTCCGCAACCTCTCCAGATCCTCCACGTCTCGGAACAGGAAGAAGACATCCTTGCATTCGGGATGGGTCTCAAATAATCTGTTACCAAGACAACAGCAGCACAAACAAGCCACTGGTGAGTCTCTGAGAGCCACTTGTGAAGAGAAGCCTGTCAAATTCATTCCCCCACCAAAGCAAACCTCCCTCCTGAGTTTCCCAACTAAAGATGACATAACCCCAGACAGTTTCAGCTCAGACTGAACCTCAATCAGTTTCCTTAAGCAGAGCGTTTGATCATGCTGCCATTCAATCAGAGTCTTCCAGTCTCCAGCTGAGCTACTTGTGATTCGTGATGCTAACACAATACACTGATGTGAGTTTCATTGTGCTCACACTAAGGCTTATGATAATTCTGCTTTTTCTGTGTGATGTTAGTGTTGGGAGGAAAAAATCTTATAATACTAATTTGATTTTAACAGGAGTTTCAACTGAGAGCTGTAAATGGCACTGATTTCATTGTCCAAACTTTAGAGGTTTGATTTACTAAGGTTTTAATCCAACACAGACAACCTGAACACGTGGTGCTAAACTATAATACGGTGCTAATGATGAAATAACCTACAGTATCATTTAAAATACTTGTGGGTGTGGCAGGTCAGGTTGTTTTTTTCCACATGACCTCCAGCACTGCTAGTGAGCCTGAAATATAGAGCCGAGTCCTCATGAATAAAGAGCATTAGATGTCTATAACACGTGGCCCCACTAATAGAATGTTAAATAGAAAGCTGAATAGAGGCAATAAAGGAGTGACGGTCTCTCAAATGGCTGCTGAGAAAACATCAATAGCTCTGCTTCCTTTGACAAGCAGATGACAACCCGGCCGGGCCTACTGAAGTGAAGTAATACTGACGTGGCGACCAGGTTTCAGCTATAATTAAAATGTGAGTGAGTGGTTGCCATCCAGGGCTCATGACTGACAGTACTGACATGTTTTCAGATGTCTCTTATACAGCATTTTATTCTTATGTTTGCTTGATGTACATTTGCATAACCCCATAGTTTGTGTCACTGCTTTTAATGTATAATTTTACTGTTTCAACTGTTAGAACCTATGATTTTAGCA